CTAATTTATTATTAATTTAAAGTTAGTACCTAAGCTTTAGCCTTAGGCTACTAAGGCTTAATATACCTTATTATTATATTAAGTTATATAATTTAATTAGGTTATTATTATTTAAGATTTTAATTATTAATTAAGTAAGGCCAGAGTAAACCCTAAGTATAAGTTAAAATAAAAATTTATATATAAAAAATTTAAACCTATATTTACTTTTTAATTAAAAATAGCTTAAGCATAGCTTAAAGGTTTATAAAAATAGCTTTAAGGCCAGCCTTTTTTTTTAAATTTTTAAGTAACTTTTTTAATATTATTTAACAGGGTTTAAAATACTTTATTTTTCTTAATTAAATTTTTTTATTAATATCTTTATTATTAGTAAAGATCTTTAAGACTTGTTGGTCTTACACTTAAAAGTTTATTTATTTTTTTTAAAATTTAGCTTTATATATATATTATATAAATAATAGCTACTTAACCACGCTAGTTAAAGGGTATATTAACACGGGGGGTGCCTAAGGCACTACATTATACTAAATTAGGACTAGCGCGTCACGTGCCCCATAGAGTTTTCTCCCGCTAATTAAGGTAATACACTAATACACCAGACTTCTCCTATTAAATGCTTTGCCTACGTCGGCCGTTAGTAATTATATCAAATAAGTAATTAAAAATCTCAATATTATATAAAAATATTTTTAACTTAATAAATATTTAAAGAAATTAAATTAAAAAAAATAATAAAAAAAAAGTAGTTATATATAAGTAAATATAATATTTTAATAAAAAAAAGCTACTAAGGGCATATAACCTTTTAAAAATAAAAGCTGAAAAATTATATTTAGCTAGGCTATAATAATAAAGCTATACTTGGTATAGCTAATTAAGTAAATAGGCAAGGGCTAGAGTGGGGCGAGCAGTATACTACGCTCTGACACCATTAAGTCCAACAATGCAACGGCGGGGCAGATACAGAGCCCTACAATGTTCTGCCTGGCGCTTTTGACATTGTATATAACAGGGATCTCAATGCTACCGGTCATCATGGTACTGGCTAAGTGATAGGCTTCGAAGTTGAATTCTCAGCAAGGGCTAGAAGGAACCCTAGGTATGACGGCACAAGGCATACCCAACATGTATAAACAGCGCACGAGAACAAATGAAACAACCCCGAAATATAAAACATGGTCAGAGCGACAAGCGCAAAAGCCATCTGCAGAAATGAACGTCCATCCAGACGGTACAGTAGCACGTCGCCAACGCTTCACCCAACACTCTCGATCTCCCAGGTCTCTTGCGCGATGACCTACCAGGTCCTTACGTCGCGAGACACCTTCCAACCTGGAAGTGGAACACGCCCTCCTCATCAAGCCTCCCATCACCCAAATACCTTCCGCCCTCATAGCTGCGGAGCCATGAACCGTCAGCACGCACGACTCAACTCCCTGGGTTCTGCTTGCCGAGACACGGTACATACCTCCAGTGCACCAGCGCCGCAACAAGGTCCCTGCACCCCTTGGCGAATGTTCTACACACGGACTGCGGGACGCCATTTCTCTCCAGGGTCGTAGCGGAGTCCTGGATATTGATCATATGGTTCCGGGCGAGGTTGTATGCTTCCTGCACTGCGCCGTTGATGGGTACGTGCGTGTTCAGCACGAGGACGGGGATCAGGTTCTCGATTTGCCCGTCGGCCTGGAGCAGTGGTCAGAAGACGGCCAAGGAGACCGGGGACCTGGATGAAGCAGCACGTACCAGCTCCTTTTGCAGGGATATCAGGTCGTTCGCGCTGGGGACGTAAGCAAGACAATGTCATGGTACCATGCCATACCATAGTAGGATGGCCTTGGAAGGACAGGCTAGGCCAGGGAAAGGTTGCAGACGCTATCCAGGTGGCGTACGTGGTGTCACTCACATATGCACGAAATACGACGTCTCCCTCCAGAACGCCTTCATCTGCCCTACATCCACATCAGCGGGAGTGACACCCACGCCGGCCACGAACCTAGCCACCCGCGTTAGCCACCTCGAACACACCCGCACACTCGGAAATTGAAGAAGGGCACGCACGGAATCGTCGCAATCCCCGGGTAAACGCCCGCGTCGCGGTCCCGACGCCCCCAGTACTCCTCGAGACTCGGGACCCGCCCATCGGCGAAGAGCGCATTCACCGCGCCAACGGACTCCATGTACTCGGTCATCGCGTTGCAAAGAACGGCCCGTGTCTCTGTGCGTTGTCAGCTCCACCTTGCAACGAGAGCGCGAGCGCGAGCGAGAGCGCACGTACCCTTCGAACAAACCTTCCTCACATGCACCCCGATTTCATCCCACGCCTCCAGTGCCTTCTGCAGCTGGCCCGGGTACGACGAGAGGTCTGGTGCCGAGGCCTCGGCTTCGGGCAGAAGCTGGTGGCGGATATACGCGATGCTCACGCGGCGGTTGTCGCTCATCCCGTGCGCGGTTTCGTTGCGGAGCGTGTCGTGGTCGAAGATGTCGTCCCACAGGTAGTACTGCACTGGCTGTTAGGCGTCTCTCTTAGGGATGCCGGGGAAGGCAGGAGATGGTTAGTAGGGTATGGCGCACCCAGGCGAAGAACTTCGCAACCGTGCAGAGCTTGTCGTACGGTGCGTCGGCGCAGATCACGGCCGCGAAGAGCCCGAAGTCGTCGGCTTGGAGCTGGCGGCAGGTGGTGTCGTTGTCGGTGTAGCTGGCATGTCACAATGGGTTAGCTGGTTGAGTGGGAATGAGGGTTGTGGTGGACACGTACCGACGGATCCACGGGTTGAGGACCTCGTCCCGGGCCTTTTCGTAGTCGGGGTGCAGTCTCACTTGGGCTGCGCCTCCTGGGAGGAGGGCGCGGAGGTCGGGGATTTCGACATTCTGGCCTTCCAGCGAGGACCAGAGGGCGTCGTGGTTTGTTTCGTGCGCCATGGGTCAGGCAGTGACGGTGGAAGCTTGGGTTGTTCGTGCTGAGCTATGAGCCTGGGTCTGTGGGATACCTAGGGTATGGATGGCAGGGTTCTCACTGCTATATAGCCGTCGTCTCAGCCATCTTCGACATCACTTATCGCCCTTTTTCTTGAACCATACCCCGCAATCCGGCTTCATCACGCGCATACACGGTGACACTGCGTTTCAGCCGGCACTGGGGAACAATCTTATTCGTCTCGGAGGGTATCAGCATTCAAAAGCCACCTGGACCCGGGCTGCTCGGGTCTGCACATATATACTCGATTGGTCCTTCTTCGTTAGCACCACGCACGCAAGTTTCTCTACCTCCGGCGCAATTCAGAGCCAGTGGATGGCTGCAGTGGAACGTCAGGTTAACTGGCTTCGTCCAGTAACATCTTTACGCCTCCGCTTATTCTTGCTATTTCAATTATGTCTGACGGTCGTCTGCTTCCAAGTTACCCTCGTTCAGCTCTGCTTTTCAAGCCACTTGCGTACCGGGGTGGGTGGTGCGATCTTATCCTAGACCACCATCGTATCCTAGAGCAAGGAACCACCCATGCCCCGTACAGTCTCTGTTCCCCGTGCGTCAGGTTATGCCTCCGCGCCGTCTTAGCATGAACTGCGAGAAGGTGTCCTACCGCTGATACGGAGGCCACACCCGATACGTGCAGATTGTACGCAGCACATATTTCATGCATATACGCCACTTGAGTCCTTGTCCAATCTTTGCCCTCTATGCTCTCCGCCAGACCTTTCCTGATTCTCAGCTAGATTTAATGAGGTCACCTTGCTTGTTAGACTGTTTAAGTAAAGCCATGCATACCATGTCAAGGCACATTCTAATTACTGTGACACAGTGCGGTGGACAGCACAAGAAGGAGATCGGGATTGCAATCCATCTCTTTTACACCACACCTGCGCTTACGTGCCGCAGTAAGTCATGGGCTCTGGCTTGATGACAAGACTCCTGGTTAGAGACTGGCCATTCAACTAAGTGCGTTAAGTAATGCCCGGCATAAGTCACTGCTCGGTGGGCCGGGATTTGAAATAGAGGCCATTCATACTAACGTATGGTGATTCGGAATGTGAGTGGCGTGGAACGTATAAACACTGCAGAAGGCTTAAGGTACGCCTTTCCGTGATCTTATCAAGTCAGCCAGTGAGATTTTCTGTATTTAAAAAGAACTACCTAGTGTGTTGATTACTCTACCTAATCATGGATCCACGTACTCCGGCTGCTCCCCAAAGTACCACAGGAGACCACAGCGTCTTGAGGTTTAAATATAACATAAGGTACAAATGCGATTCATTCCAAGTCCTCTTAATCTAAAGCCTAGTACCTGATAGCTACATGCTCATTGGTTATGCGCGAGTGGTGCATGACATCGACCATAGGGACTCGGAGACATGAAGTTTATAATGGTCTAGGCCACACAACACATCATTTGACGTTCGCCAGATGGTCTCATGAATCAGCTGCTTCGAGGCGAATAGTTATAGTTTGTTCCCCCAAGGACATATCTGTCACTTGCAAGTCATGCCATGCCGTAGGGGATTTGGACCACTTGCACCGCCCACAAATATCAACAGGTCATGGCCGGCGATTCGGTACCTATTAGCCTCGATAAACATTCATCGCCGCCTAATTGCCCAGTCTGCCTCCTCGTCAAGGAATAGAGTGTCTTGGAGGAATCAATGCCCTCTAATTTGGTTGGTGAAAACAGAGTCTAAGCCCCAGGCCCCCCGCTACCATAACCCAGCACCAGCTCCATAACCTCCACTTGATAGGACATGTCGTTCTGCAGTAAGTCACTATACGTGCCAAGAACGACGGGGAGAGGTGGCCTGAGCCAAGTTGGAGTTCAATCTATGCACCAGCTTCATTGTAACGTGGGGGCCGTGTTGGTTGTATCCACCCTTCCTTAAGCTGGAGGTTGGAGAGAGGCAGCCTGGACGCTGACTCCAAGGGTATAAAGTCTCACGTTCCGCCAGTGACCACAGAAGAAATCAAATATCCTTGTTGTCTCTCTACTACATTCTCTCGCGTGCTCACAATGAAGTTCTCCGTTGCCCTTGGCGCCGTTTTGGCCGCCACGGCCTCCGCCGTCCGCTTCGAGTCCTACCCAGAGCCTAACTACGAGGGCGGTGCTCAGGTCTTTGTGAGTCTTCCAATTGGATGTTACATGGTTCGCTGGGATATAGAGTGGCGCCTCTTCGACGTCGCGGTGTCAGAATCAACAAGGAACTGACTTCATTGCGTCTCGCATCAGGACTCGGTGTATGCGCTAACCCCATAGCCTAACTACATATCACAGTCTAACTCTCGACTTCATCCTAAACAGCGGCTGGTTCTACCTCACCCCCGTCGCCCGCTCCTACAAGTTCGACTCCGAGGGCGGGAAGTACGCCATCAAGGCGCCTACCGGTAGTGCTGCGGTACGTACACGTACCCGTACCCCATCTGCTGCGGTGTTGCAAAGGTCAGCGCGAAGCTTTGTATGCAAAAGCTGACGATCATAGTTCTGTGACGGCGACACTGAGGTTGCAGACACTGGTGCTACACTGGGTACTGTGGAGGTTGGGTATGCTGCGGATATGTGCTGAGAAATCATATTGTTGAATCGAAGCATATCCGTTTGGGAATAAGCTATTCGCTAGGTTACAATGGTGGGGTTAGACAAAAAAAAAAAAAAAAACTGTTCCTTCAGATTACACCGGGATCCATCGTAGACCATTCATATTAATACTACTATAACTACTTAGAAACATCATTTCGATCGCATCGCAGTGATATGGCAGCCATTGAAAATGACATCTCGAATACCTCTATTTCACTTATTCAATGAAGTTGACCAAATGGCATCGCCACCAGCATATTCTCGGCAACCCCCCGGGCCTTTACGGAACCATACCCCCGCCGTCTGGGCTGGGCCATGGAAGGACATTAAGATACCCCGATTCCTGCTCTTCACAGCGAGCCCTATCCTGTCGGCAACGCGGTTAATCTGCAGTCCATGACATCTCAATGACAATTCATGAAACCGTACCGCATGCCCGGAGGAAATCGACTCGCAAGCCGCTTGGCCGGTAAACGTACAATAGCACGTCTTCTCGCCCATCACTGGACCGTGGCGCAGTCTATCCAGGGCAGGTTCGTTGATCTGTATCGAGGTACTTGGATGACTCGAGCTCTCGCGCCAGTGTTGCCGGTATGGTTCTGTTGTATGGGCCGTGATAACCCTAATCGTCGAAGCGTCCAGGTAATAATCGTCTTCAATTTGGCCGATGTCATCCGCATAAAGGTATGCCCAGGCTATTGCAATCGCGAATATAGGATGAGTTGAATATTAGGTAGGGGTTGAAGTCGGGGAGACAGAGGGTTAGTGTAAAGTGCGCCTGGGTGCTTGAGGTTAAGGCCGGGGGCGAGGATGCGCTACCACAGCAAGTGAGTCATGCAATAATAGATACCTAGCAAGCCGGTGGAAAATTTCTCTGTGGAAAGCCAACCGGAGGAACAAGCGCCAACAGGGTCACAGGTTCCGCATTATCCGGTCGAGCCTGCTAGAGCCGCACTAGACACGAAGCGAGGCGATAGTCCGGGGGACCTAGGGTCATTAAGGTTAGGCCCAACACTAGCTATTTGGCCGACAGTTGCTGATTGGACGTGTTTCAGGCGAATCACCGTTAGTGTGGAGGCGTTCTTATCCCCGAGTCTAGGTTGCAATACGGTGGTTCTGTGCCTGTGCCTGGCTACTGGTACTTATATCCCCCGCGCCCAGGGACCAATTCCTTTTCTGTTCTCTTGCCTCCTACACGTTTGCCGCTCTATCCCGTCCAGCTCACTCGTTCCATCGCCAAGATGCGCTCCTTCGCCCCCCTCAAGCTCGCCCTGGGCCTCTCCCTCTCCCTATCAACCCTCGCCCTCGCAGACGACGCCACAACCACAACAATGCCCTACTACCAACCCGACTGGGAAGAAGCCTGGTCGGCCATGCCCTCGTACACCAACGTCGAGGGCTCCATCGTCTCAATCCACTCGCCCGACATAACGTACGCGATGTCCTGCACGTCCGGCGCAGAGAGCAGCACCTGCTCGATCAAGAAGCCGTGGACCATGATCGCCGGCCCGGAAACCTTCAAGCAGACAGGCACATACACCGCGTTCGACTGGACGCCTGCAGTGACCGTCACGTACGACTGGGACTGCAAGATGACGTCCTACTCCGAGAGTCCGAGCTGCAGCTTTAGTCTGAGCTATACCGGGAGTGAGAGCGGGATGGAGACCAGCAGCAGTATTGAGACCAGCACCAGCTGGGATTATACGACGGGGAGTCCGTATGGGTTGCCGGTTACGGCGGGTCTGGATAAGTTGTCCGACGCGGTGGCGAGCGCGGAGGCGGAGGCGACGCCTACGGCCAGTGATGGGGGTGCGATGGGCATTCGGCCTGTTGAGGCGTTTATCACTGCAGCGCCGGTTGTGCTTGCTGCCGGGGTTGGGGCTCTATTTTAAGGGTCGTGCTCTCGATGGCTGGATGGATGATGGTTGATGTTGTTTGTTTGAACTCCGTTATATGGTAATGGTATGATGGATGCTTGAGACTGGGCGTCTATGGCTGACTGGAATGTGACCTTCAAATGCAATTGCATGATTGGTAGTGATAATACTACGACTTGCCTTATGTTGGAATCCCCTTCATGCTCGCTGAACAGGAGATCAGTTTAGATATCGCCCCGGGACCAGATGTTACCTACCAGATCTAACTCGCCGCCTATGCTTTGGCGCAATGTTAATCATCTTGAGCTCTGCTGAACTCTGAACAGGCACCTTCCTTGGGGTATGTGCTCCAAGGTTACCATAGGTACCTAGCAGCTGAAGTCTTCGGCATCAAGCTTCTTTCATTCTTAGAGCATTCCCATCCGCGTAGTCACTGGACTCTTGAACATTGAGCGTAAAAGCTATATACCACGTTCAGATTTAGGGCCCGCCATAGCTCATTTTCCAGGATACTCCCCTACATAGCTTCTTGCGGCCGGTCCTCTTTTCAGGGCAAAGTGGAAATAAGATGAACATACACATAGATCACATTGTCATTGCATACATAAGAAAAGATCATATCAAAATCATACCCGTAACCATAGCCATAACCAGCTGCGCCAACCTTGCACTGTTGCAACAGTACCAGTACCCAAGCAAGCATAGCATCATCGCCGACGCCAGTTCCCTGAAACCACCTCGGAGGACAAGACAATCATCCATCCATATCCATATCCATACGCCATAAACCCTACCATCCAGTTCCCATTTCACTTTCAATCCCAGGAATAAAACCTAAACCGCCTCATCCCCAACCGGCACAACCGGAAAACTATACGTGCTCGCCGCCCTCGTAACCGTCAGACTCGGCCGACTATTCGAATTCGTCGTGCTCCGCACACTCCCCGTCGCGGAGGGGCGAATCGATCCACCCGCACCAGCAGGTACAGTGGAAGGCCCCCCCACCAGCGCCGCAAGCGCACTCGCATGCGCCTGTGCGCTCGTCATATCGGCCGCATCCTCGTCCGGGACCTCACGGAGCGAGAAGTCCCGATTCAGCGTCATATCGGAGTAGCGGTGCATATTCGGCACGGGGTTCGTCGTGGGCAAGCTCATGGACATGTTCATGGTCGAGCCGGACATGGTCGGCCCATGGCCGTGGCCGAGCGGGTGCAAGGCTTTAGCTTCCCACTCGTTGAAGTCCTGCCCCGGGTTCACGGCCTCGTATTGGAAGTGCGTGAGGAAGGTGTAGAATGCACATGCTATAAGCGAGCCTAGGAACGGTCCGGCCCAGTAGATCCAGTGGTATGATGGGAAGGAGCGCAGGAGGACGTCGGGGCCCAGGGTTCGGGCGGGGTTGAGGGAGCCGCCGGTGTAGTAGTTTCCTATCATGGATATTAGTTGGTGTTGCTAAGTCTAGGAGTAAGGGTGGGATGAAGAGGTAGGTAGGGGAGAGGGGAGAGACACACCGATCATTTCCATAACGAAGAACGTCATACCGATCGCAACGGGCGCCAAAAAGGTCGATTTGTGCTTCACGACCGCGAGCATGATCACCACGAACACCAGCTGTGCTGTGAGGATTGTCTCGATGAACAGGCCCTGAATCACCGAAGCTCCGCCGCCTAGCCTGGTGGCTACATTTAGGTCGCCGGGAAGCAAAACGCTGACGATCGCAGCCGCCGCAAGACCGCCGCCAATCTGGGCGATGAGGAGCAGGAGACCGCGGACGGCGGGGATTCCACCGATGAGGCAGAGGGCCAGCGTAACCTGCAATGGAAGTTAGCATCATCACTATCCATCAACTTCCACTCCTAAACTGGGTGGAGGTAGCAAGGAACCGGGAGGGAGACAAACAGCCGGATTAAACAACCCCCCCGTAATGCGAAAGAACGCCCAGATGTTCACCATGAGGCTGAACCCAAACGATAACGACGAATACAGCAGCGCATCAAAGTCCGGCGGGGCCACTTTCCCACCCCCAGCCTGGTCGAGCTCCGGAGCCCGCGAGCGCGGCGCATTCGCAATCTGCGTCCCCGCAAACGCAAAGAATAGGAACAGGAACGTCCCCACGAACTCCCCCGCCATCGCCGTGAAGTTGTTCCGCGCTGTGTCGGGGACAGAGAGGGACGGGAGCTGCGTGAGCCCCATGCCCATCGTCGAGCGGCGCTTTATCTTCCCTGCGTGTGGGCGGGTGTCGGTGTCTGCTGCTTGTGGCTGCCAGCTGGAGGGGCGGAGTTTCTTGATGGCGGTTGGGAGGTGCATTGTGGAATGGATCGTTACCGTGAATCGTGGCGTTGGCGGGGCCTTGGGGGTTGTTGGGATGGGGTGCTCGGCTGGAGGAAGAATAGGCGTGAGAGTTCGGGGAGTCTTTATACCTTGCCCGAGGGTGATGAAATGACGCTGGATGCGCGTGGGCGAGGCGTCTGGATCAATGGTGAGAACGGCCTAGGGCTAAGAAATTGTATGTGGCGGAGTAGGGAACCTGGTTTCAGGACTCCAGGTTGATAGCTGGTACAGTGGTACTAGATCGCTCGCTTCGATCATCGTTCTAGAAACAACTGTCCTGATGATCCATGAAGACAAGAGATGAAGGGTCCCTAGGGCTGAGCGTTGTCACAACGGTTTGTTTCATCGTTGCCAATTCCCCACAGCCTGTATCAGATCAGCGAACCCAATCTGCCGAACCACACATCCAAACCGCCCTAGCCAATGAGAATACCAGACAAAGTGAGGCTATACATAAAACACGTCGTCGTCAGCGAACGAAACTAAGCCTCAGGTGCCTCGCGAACCGATCTGACTTGACTCGAAACAGGCCCGGTCCAACTCCACTGATTGGATGGGGATGAGTTGCGAGAACGATACCCACACAGCCCATGTGCTGATCCTGTTGACGATGATCAGCCGTGAGCATCATGTCACTGTCAGACCGTTGGAATTACGGCGCTTGCGACCGCCCGCTCATGGAGAGAATTGGGTTGATCGGAAAGGTCACCTTGGAGGATGCAGCGAATGCGATAGACAATGATATGAATAAAGCCATATATTACTACATAGATAGGCATTATTCGTGGACATGTTTACCTACATGGGCGGACGAGGAGGTCTAATAACCTCAAACCCCTTCTCCTTGCTCTTCTCTTTCCTCTTGCCTCGCCTAAACCGACTCAGCCAGGAAGAACGACCAGGTGCTTCGCCTCCCTGCTGTAAATCCGGGTGTTCAGCATGAGTCCTACGCCCGTAGAACTGATCCGCCTCGCGACACGAATAGTAGTCCGTATTAATCGTACGCATCTCACCGTCATCAAGTGGGTCCAACTCAATCGCCTTGCCTATATCGCCAGCGTCACTTTCAAACGTCGGTGCTGAAGGGACAACCGGGGCAGGAAGCGTGAAAGACAAAACGGACCGTTGAGATCGAGGAGGTCGGAAGAACTGAATCGGTTCGAGGCGAACGTCCTCGAAAGAATCACCTCCGGAGCCACTACCAGAGCCGTAGCCAGAACCAGAGCCTGAGGATGACGGCCGGACGCTGCGTCCTATGGAACTATACGCGGATTGATACTCAGACTGACCACCACTACGCGTACCTACATCAAGCGGGTCAAGAGACGGCAGATGCGCGAAGGAGGTACGTCTTGTCGATCTATGTGAAAGTTGCTTGATGCCATAAACCTGTAGGATGTCAGCGTGCGTCTACGATATTAAGGGAATGGCTTGACACGAACCGGAGCCTTGGATCTGTCCATGTGCGCCTGATCTTCCTTCAACAGACCAAGGTTATGCAGGACGCCGCGAGTTGGTTCATAAACACAGTCCAGAAGAAGACTGGATGCGAAGGTCACGGTATGCATAAGTAGAATCGCGTATGCAACATTTGATGCGATTCTCTCTGACGCATTGACATGGTCGATAAAAACCAAACTCATGCAGACTGTTGCAAGCCGGACAAGCGCCAGGGCGGCCTGCCTCCACGGTATCGGAAGTCTAGAGTACGCACTCCACAGGCAGCACCCCAGGATAAACAGCTCGCATGCGCCGAGAAGCAGCAGCTGGGCAAGTGCGTAGCGCTGGAGAGCGCCGATCGCGAGGCCGCGGACGAACGGGACTCCGTAGAGCGCGTAGAACGCAGAGGGCTGGCTGACGGGCGTGGCGAATAGTGTCTGGTGGAAGAGTAGTATGTGGCGATTGGTCTTCGCAAGATAGCGAACAGTAAAGAAAAGCATTCCGGCTAGGGCGATTACCGCGATCATGGCCATGGACGTGTGGAAGGGGAACCATTGCGGGTAGTTCATTTGGTATAGGGAAAACGCGACCAGTGGATGCAGGAAATAGTCGAGGACGATCCGGGTGATACTCCAGCCAATGCGCTGCGTCTGTGACAGTATCTCAGTTCGGAGGAGGGCCATGTCGTTCGTCTGAGATCGATAACCCTCCCACACGAACTTGCAGACAGTAACCAGAAGTATGGTGATTGCGACACCGGCCGCAACGAGAACGAGATTGACAATCGAATTCGTCCACAGATCGCTTGCGGTCGTGCTCCCGAGGTACTGCGACATCTCCTCCAGGCCATACGTCGCATTGACTGAGAAGAGACCATCTTCAACCCCGGGGTACGTGAACTGGTGGGTGACCGGCCAGTTCGCGAAGATTAAGGACGACCAGGCGAGTTTGCTGGCAACCGCTCGAAAGAACCCGGGATAGGGCAGTGTCAGGCATCCGCTCAAGAACACAAACTGGAGATGGTGCAGACAAGGGCCTAGTCCGGGCATTGGCGTGTCGACTCGGTCTCGCAATGCATCATCCGCTTCATGTCGGAAGAAACTGCCGCGCCGTTTCTGCGATCTCTTCAGAGCGCCCGTCACAATGCCCGCCAGAAGCATAAGAACCAACGGAATGCCCACTAGAGCTCTTGACGCCACGGACCCAATATACGGAGTGATATAGGTGCGCGTACAAGCCAGGGTGGTCTCGTTCAGCTGGACGCGGATTGTGGTGTCCAGTGTGCTGAACGGGAGCAAGGACTTCAAAGGGAATGATCCCTCGTAGATGGCGTAGGTGCGATTGTCCCATCTAACCAGTCATTATCATGGACATTGTAATTATGTAGGGACATACCGTGGATAGTTCTCCCGCGAGAGCGTAGGGCATCTGCCATGCAGGTTCCGAGGCTCCCCGTCGATGACAGAGTGGCCAAGGGCCTTTGCGTCGACCGAGAGCCGCGCCAAAGATCCATTCAGCTCGTCACATCGATCATCAATATAGTCTCCTATAAACCTAAGAGAGAGGACGTCATTGCCATCCTCGCGGTCCAGGAAACCATGCAGGGAAATAGACTCCAGCAGCGAGTTATCGGTATCTGTGCAAGGCAGCGGTCGGAGGAAGCCAGCCTCGACCGAGGCGCTGAGAAGAAGAAGGCATGGGAGAAGTGTGCTCAGAAACATTGCTAAAGTGATTGTCTGCCCATGGGAAAGAAAGAAGAGCCTCAACCTCGACTCCAGGGAACTCGGAACTGCAGCCAGCAGAGCGAAAGGTGGAAATTTCGGCAGCAGCGCTCCACTTCTTGCCAAGGCCCTCCAATCACAACTCCCACCCTATTTATAGCACCAATCATTCCTGTGGCTGCTGGAGACCCATCAGTTCAAATAGCGGCGCTGCTCTATCACAGCGCGTATGGCTACCAGAAAGACAGGGCATCTTTGTACCCAGGTAGTTGTTGGCCTTCAGCAGATGGAAAGATGACATGGCATAACAGATGCCGCAAGGCTGTTACTGGATCTTATCTCTGACATAGACTGGCTTTCTCACTTCACTAAACCCCAGTTTGGCGCTGATGATCGTGATGTTCGGCAATTCCGTCCTGCAATATATATCTCTTGCCATGGGCGGGGTTGGAACAGGTATGCCCATAGAAACGGTGTTTTCTGCAAAACTACAACTGCGAATCCCCATAGCTCACAGAACCCTCGCTATTGGTTTTCCTATCGCTATATAACCGGAATCTCACTTGTTTCTTCAATATCTGTGCTTCAGTTGGGCCTATGGTCCCATCCACATGGGTTCATACATTAGATTCATTGAGCCGAACATGAAGCATTGCCCAATACATATATAGGCCTTGAAAACGGAATTCATCCTAATCATGTTAAATTACTCCCCATCCACGCAGCCAAAACGCAAGATATTTAACATCAAGACCCTTACTGGTCCTCCCTCCCATCCTGCCAACTAGAGCAGTTGACACACCGCAGCGCCTGTCATAGATACCATTATCAGCACCACAATAACTTTCATCAACCATTCATCCAGGTAGACAAACTGACCTTCTCACTGATCCTCTTCCGACAATACCGACACTTCACACTCCTCTTGACAATCCTATCCCTCGAAAGAAGCGTATACACCTCGGCAACAGCATACAACGTCAGACTGATGCCGAGGAAATCGACCACTTTTTCTAGAAAGGCCCTGTCACCAACAATCAATTTGCCATTCACAAAGAGCGGGGATGTAGAATAGAGGGCAGGACGCACCCATACGCCAACACAAGCGCCCCATCCTCCCTCGCCTGTTCAAGGGTCTTATACCCATGCATCTCGGCATAGTGCGGTCCCGCAGAAAGCACAGCGAACTCCTCGCTCATATTCCGATGCAGAAACGGCAGGAGCGAGATGATTGGGAGGATCATGTCCGAGACGAACGAGTTGACGACGCTTGTGAAGGCTTGCGCGATTCTACACAGCAAGATTAGGTTCTGACGATAGCACGGGGGACCATCGGTGATACATCAAACCCAGCGCAACTTCGAGGACGTTATCTCTCGCCGCGAAATCGATGAAGCCGTCCCAGGCGCGGCGGAAGTGGGATTTTACGTTGGAGGCGAGGCGGGTCATACTCATGGACGAGGTTGTTTCTTCGAGGCCGCGCATTTTGTTTGGGGGGCTTTGTTCTCTGCCCTTAACGAGGATATAGAGTTGAATAGTGGGGAGAGCGGAGGAGTGGTGTTGTTGATGTCGAGATGATGACGTAGGGAGGGTTGAGCACGGGCTTGGAGGTATGACCAACAGGATTGTGAGGCACGTTTCACTGCGTAAGGTGGCAGATCATCTGGATTGGCAGAGATGGAATAATGGAAACTCGATAGACCATTGGCTGCGAGGATGCATCACCTCCGCAGAACAAATTATACCTAGGAAAGATGTGGATGGGCACTCATGGTGGCAGGTGGGAAGACGCATGCTGGAACAGCGTTTAGGAAGACTACTAACTTATGGCGGGCATGTGGTTTACTCCGGAGGGAACTGCCGTGAGACTGATTGTCAGCCAATGGTGGAGATCGCTTAGTTCGATAAGGAAGCGCTGCAGCGCTTTAACAGCGCTTAGGCGCCTTAGGCAGTTTTAATTAAAATACTATAATACCTACCACTAAATTACTTGCCTGTATAATTATAATATTTATAGTTTTTTAAATATTATAAAATATTAGTAAAAGTATTTAAAATTTTTATTATTTTTAAAAACTTAAATTATTTATATAAACCCTAGTTAGCTCTAGCTTTTAAATATTATTATATTTTTTATTTAATTTTTTAGTATTTATATAATTAATAGCTTTTTTTTATATAATATTTAAAGGGTTTTATAGTTATAAGCCTGGAAAATTACTTAATAATTTAGTTTATTAAATTTTTTTACCTTTTTTAAACTTTTTAAAATTATTTATATTTTTTAAGTACTAGTCCTTTTATTATATAAAGGCCTTTTATAATTAATTATTTCTTGTATTTGCACCTAGGAAGTTAAATATTAATTAAAATTTAACTTTTATATTTAATTTATTAATTTAGGAATTATTATAAGCTTTACTACCAGCGCCTTAAATATAATAATTTTTTAAAGTTTAAAAAAAACTAGCTAGTATAGAATAGCTATATTTTATATATTATAATTATTATAAAAGTTTAAAAGTATTTTAATTTAAAAATAACTTATTAAACTTTTTTTTAAGCTTTTTTAACTCCCTGGAAATAATACTAATAAAAAGGTATTTAAAATATTTAATTAAAATAAAATCATGCTAAGCATGTCCTTTTAAAAATTTAAAATATTAATAATATTATATAAAAGTTAATTATATTTTTTATTTAATAACTTATTAAGAATAAGCTTATTATAAAGATTTTTATTAAACTAAAGTAATAATTTACTCTTACTAATTTTAAAACTAAACTTAAGGCTTTTAATAACTACATTACTACCCTTATTATACTAATTTAATAAAAAAAAGTTACCTAGTGGCTTTAAAATTATAAATATACTTATTAAAAAATCTTATATTTTAAGTAACCTAAGGCTAATAATAAAATAGCTAATATAGTATTTTTAAAGGCTATTAATAAATACTTAATAACTTATATAAAGCGCCATGCAGATTAATTAAATTATAAAAAACTTAGTAAAACTAATTATTTTACCTTTATTTTTAAGTTTTGTCGGACGCCCGGAGGGCCGGCGCCTGGGACGCGCCTATCCCGATTAGGACTAGCGTAGTATGTGATAGTTAAGGTTTTCTTATAACTTACTGCTTGCTATATATAAATAATTTAAAGGTTTATTATAAGTAATACTATTAGCTAGTTATTAGGTTATAAGCCCTTAAACTTTTTTAACTACTTTAAAATATTATTTAAAACTTTTTTAAGTATTTTTATAAGCTTTAAAACTTGTAATAAGCATTATTATATACTTTTTTTATTTTTTTAAAGCGCGATTTTTAATACTTATTATTTATAAATTAATAAAACTATAACTTTTTAATTAATTAAAACTTAATATTTAATATAGCTAAGTTTTAATAAGCTATTTTTAATATAAGAACCCTTAATTTTATTATAAAAATATTTTAATAAGTAACTTAGTTAATAAACCCCCTTAATTTTTTACTTAAATAGGTATATTATAAGCGCCGCCTGCTTTTAATAATAATTTTTATTATTATATACCTGCTTGGGATTAAGCTTACGGGCTAAATTAATTATAATAAATAATTTAATTAGGTAAAAAAATATTTATAAGCCCTATACCTTTTTTAATTAGTTAACTTTTTATTTTCCCAGCCTTTTAAAAATAGGTTATACTAAAAATACTAAAAAAATTACTTAATACTTATTTTTAATTAGCTTATAGGCTAAATTAGCCGCAAGATTTATATTAAAGTTATTAAATTCTTATATTTAATAAAGTATGCTAATAAAATATTTAATATAATTTACTAAATTATTATTAAATAAGGTGTACCCTAAATTATTAAGGCAGTGCTTAATATTATTAATATATATAAAAACTAGTTTTTTATTACTTTTAAGTTTATTATAATATTTATAATTATATAAAATATTACTAAAAACCTATATATTATTATTAAATTTAGTATTACTATGCTATTAATTTTCTAAAAGATTTATAATAACTTTAAAATATAGTTTATACTTTAATAATTATTTTTAATTAATAAGATTTTAAGTAATTATAATAAAAATAACTTAAAATAACTATATAAAAATATTATAATTAAAGCTAAAATAATTATTTTGCTTGCTACCGCGGCCCTGCTTTTAAAAAAGTAAAAAAAATAGGTTTACTATAAAAAACCCTATATTAAAGTGCTTACTAGCCCTTTAAATAATATAAATAAAAAAAATAGGTTAATTAAATAAAGTAAGGGGATAATAAGATTTATTTTTATAAATACTATAAATATAATAGCTATTTTTAAAAAAATTATTATTATTTAAACCCTTAACTTTAACCTAATAGCTAGATTAAGCTTTTTAAAATATAGGTATTATATTTAAATAAGACTAGTATAAAGTTATAAGCCGTAGCTTTATATAATAATAATAAATTTAATAATTATAACTTTAAATATAATAAATTAAAGCCTAAAATTAGCCTTAAATTTTTAGTTATACCTACTTTTATTATAACTACTAAATTAATAAAATAGCTTATAAATATAAAATTAGCTAAATTTATTTTTTTTTAAATATTTTAATTTTAAAAACTATATAAAATACGGCCCGAATTACTTAAAATACTTATATAAAATATTTAGTAAAGTAATTAAACACGCTAAAGATTATAAAATATTAATTATTATTATAAAAAGTATAAATAGCATATATAAAAAAATTAGGGTTTATAAATATTATGCGCTTAAGGCTTTAATTTACCTATTATTTATTAAAAGGCTAAAAAAAACGCTTGGCATATGGTATTATAAAAAAAATAATATTTTTATTAGCTTAAATAAATTTATTATAAGGCAAGCTTATATATATTATAATATTTTTTTTTAAAGTTTATATTTAAATAATGTTTTTAATTAGCTATAATTAATATAAATTTACTTTATAAGTACCTTAGCCACGCGGGTATTTCTAGA